ACAGAGCGCAGAGGGTTACACGGAGGTTAAGGGCGACGTGCCGCCGTGTTACAGAGCGCAGAGGGTTACACGGAGGTTAAGGGCGGCGTGCCGCCGTGTTACAGAGAGCAGAGGGTTACACGGAGGTTAAGGGCGGCGTGCCGCCGTGTTACAGAGCGCAGAGGGTTACACGGAGGTTAAGGGCGGCGTGCCGCCGTGTTACAGAGCGCAGAGGGTTACACGGAGGTTAAGGGTGGCGTGCCGCCGTGTTACAGAGCGCAGAGGGTTACACGGAGGTTAAGGGCGGCAGAGAGCTGTCCAGCTGCCACATGACGTCAGCTCATAAAAACATTCAGCGCAGGTCAGCACAAAGGGGGTGCACCTCTGCCCCTTGACTCTTATGTGCCTGACCTGATTTAGTGTGTATTTTTAACAGAATAGAACATGGCAGAGGACGCAGAGGAAGGGCCAGGTCACTTTGGCCCATGTTTCCCCTCAGCATGATGGTGGCTTCAGAGGAACAGTGTTCCTTCACGCTTTGGTTCAGAACTCTTCTCCGAGTGCAGCCTCACGTTCTCACACTTCTACAACGACAAGGCCTGGAATCCCGCTAGCACTGCCGGATCGCTGTCATGTGACCCCTTCGTTGGCGCCGCCCTCGGGACGCGCCTACAGCATGCCGGCGGCTACGAGCAGCCGCGACTCCCAAGGGCTACGGCCGCGCGGCGCAAAAAATTAACAACAAGGCCTTGGGCTCATGTGCCGCGACGTAGCTTCAGCTCAAGACGCAGTTCCATCCCATAAGGCTGTGCAGCATGGGACAGTCGGGGGACGACGCCTAACAGAGGACCTTAAAAGCCAGAAAGAGAAACCTGAGGAGATAGAGAGCCACTCTGGCAGTACATGTACATGACGGGTCAGAGCTGTGTACCATGACTGCAGAGCTATTTCTAGGTAATTGTCTATGCATGTTTTAACAGGAGAGCACATGTATATGGATTCCTGCATTAATCTGGCCCAGCGACAAGCTCTGATACTGATGATCAAACTGTGGGGTCTCCCTGATTGGCTAAACACAAATCCAGTACGCACTCCGCTCTGTTCAGCTCTCCCCAAAAGTGGGTGAGTCGCCCAGGCTAACCAACAAAGCCAGCGCTCGCTTCTTTGATTAGCCCCGCGCGGCCGTTTTGCACTGACGCCCAGCTCCGAGGCGTAACCATGACAGCGAGTTATTCAAACAGGAATAAATTACAGTTAACACGAATCAGATAGCGGTCACAAATGACACCGAACAGCAGGTCGAACAGGACTGCGGTGTGAATCATTCAGGGCACAATGCAGAACCTGTTGGGATGAACGCTTACAGCACTCAGGACTGTAAATATTAATCCACACACCTGCTTACTTTCTGAACACCACATGGGAGAAATGTGTATAATTTGAATGTGCCATTTTTTATACGGCAAGCAATGAAAGGGCCGTTTTGTGACTCTTAACTCCAATTTCTTGACTCCTGCCAGAAACCTACAGTTACTGATTCTGAATTTAACATTTCATTTTCCCTTTCAGGTCTCTTCTGAAATCTCTCTTGGTTTTTTTTTCTTTCATTTTGTTGTATCTAGTACTGAGATAATAACAACTGAATTTGTGTGGTTTATTTATGAAATACAGATATGCATACTGAAAGCATGTCTGTTGCAGCGGTGTAGATACGCAGATCCAGAGGTGCGGGGTCTTGCAGGGAGGACATTTCACACCTAATTATTGCCTGAAACACCAGGTGAGTGGACTGATTTCCGGTAATCGCTTCAACAAAACAGTTATGGGTCAGATTTGAGGGAAAATGGGCACAAGCAGCATAAACCGGAGACAAACACGAACAAGCACAGAGTTTCTGTATTTCACATGTCACCTTTAAGTTTTTATGCTGAAACTCTTACATGTCTCACTGGCAGAACTAACACAGGTATATGCAGAGAGTCACATTACACTGTGCTTGAAGGTGAAGCCCACCAAGAACTCAGCTTCATTCAGCTGGTGATGTCGTGTGTTTCTGAATGACGTCTCACATTGCATGCACCCCAGGAAGGAGAAACCATCCTCTATCTTCTAAAACATTTCACCCTCTAGAGATGTATAAAGAGAGGGGGCATCTTGGGCAGAGATTTCTGTTAGAGTCTGCACAGGAGTTACTGCCCCCTGTTTATTAGCTAAAGCTCAATTTCCCGTGAAGCTTTGATGTGATGAGTAAGGAACAGAGACATCAGTGATCAGGACAAAGCCGGATTACTTACACTACTAAAATAATGAGGAACGACATATGGATTGACCAAGTTTAGGAAGAATCCCACCAATATTTCATGCAAAATGTGGAGGGAGAAGCATCACACCAGCTAAACCACTGACTTAAGGCCTCAAGTTATGCTGAAAACACCAGCATCTGTGCCGTTGGAATTTATGAATATGAATGTGCCGTGAAAAGAAATTGCAGGGACCAAACCCATTAAGACAGAATTTAAGAAGAAATCTGAGCTGTTTTGTTAAGCATATTTCTAATATTTCTGCTTAATGACAGAATTCACGTAAATTCGGCAATGTTCATGTTATATTATAGTTATGGCTCCTAAATATGAGACAACTTGAAACTTGAGAATTTCTTGAAAAAAACAGTGCGTTGATTTTTGGACAAATATCAATCTGCCCTCCTGATAACGATCAGATTGTTTCATTTTTAGATTTAAATTTCAAACGCCACGCCTGAAGAAGGCTTTAAACATTCAGTACTGAAAGATTTCACGAATCGCGCAACGTGTCCAAAATACATGAATCACCAGGCCTTGTTAAAAGGCACTGATGCACTAATTCATTTTAGAACCTGAATGTACTTTCGCAGGCAGCAAAACCGACAGCGATATCACAGAAACCTTTGATCACGTCACTTTAATACCGTGTTAAGCCGCACAGAACGTTAGGGAAACCTATCAAACATACATAAGAAAACGCTGACGGTCAGGGAAAGAAAAAAATCATTACCCTAATTCACCCCTGCAATGCAGTCGGTTTCTGCCGTTGTAAATAGGCCTATAGGTAAAATTATTTGCCATTAACGGTATGTCAGATTTACTACAGAGCAGTGATCCGGCTGCGTAGAAGATGCATGATCCTCAAACGCTGAAATTACCCCGACTAGTCTAAAACGAGCCGCCTCCCGTGCACACACAGTACAGATAGCCTACTCAACAGTTATTTTTCTTTTGGGTTTGAATTAAATGTTTGATATTAAGTTACAGGTGCTTTCGCTAACCATGCGATACATTAATGTTGGGTTACGGAGCACAGTGAATATGAGATTACAGAACGAAATACCACTGAGCGGATTCAGCACCGCGGACAGCAAACGAGATCTGTCCATTTATTTAGCCAAGAGACGCATTTTCCAAAGCGAAGTACAGGAGAGGATGGGAGAGCAGGGTCAGAGAACAACCGGGGTTAAGGGCCTTCCTCCCGAGCCCAACAGTGACGTCACTCCGAAATCACGGGATGTGAACCAACGACCTTCCGATCACGAGTGCAGAGTCAGATATCACGGCACGCGGAGAGTCGCACACCGCAGGCTTGCCAGGTTCGGTATCGCCGAACAACCAATAAAGCATCTGCATTTCGTGTAAACTTCGCTTTAAATCTAAATGTAAATGTAAAATGTAATCTTAAAGTGTTTTACACTTAAATCTCCACCCTTAGCGCTAGGTTAACCTTTAGACTTGTATAAGGTTTGTGGTTCCTCCTTAAAAAGTAGACTACGTTAGTGGACGTGTGCCGAAAATTCTGTCCAAAAGGGTAACATCTTTGCTAATTGCACTGCATCATTTTACTGTGAGAGAAACTTGATAATATGCTGATGCGGCGATCGCGCTTCCAAGTTTTCCAAGTTTGCGTGACTGTTTATTGCCAAATACCTCGTCAGTAGGTGCTGGGGTTGTGTATTGATAATTAGCTGTGGAGAGTAAACAAGTGCTGTCACGCCCCAAACATTTGGGCTTACTGGACAGGTGTCAACGAGGCCAGATTTCCATCTAAATTAGTTGTGGGGCGTGTACTCGAGATCCGTACCGCAAAATCGACTTGATCTGCAAGCTCCAGGTGACGATCCCCCAGCCTGGTCTGGGACGGGGACTGAACGTGCTCGGCGTTTGCGTATGGCTCGGGTATGACTGCGCTCCGCCTCAACCGGCTGCTGTCTTGGCCGTGCCAAAAAAAAAAAAAAAAAAAAACTCCCGAAAGCCTTCAGATCGCCTGAGTTTCACTGGTCTGCCGCCTGCACACGTCCATGACTGCCCCGAGGAGTATGCTAGGCTACAGAAGGGTTAGCGCTCTGCGCAGTGATAGATTCACTTCACAAGTCAGACGACTGCATGGGTTACACACAACCGAAGAACACTTTATGAACGAATCCCCGTCAATCATCTTAGAATTAACCAATTTTAATATAAGTTTCTATAACCACAGGTTTATCAGGCGGATCAGTTGCACTGGCTATTACAAGGCCACGCATTTTTCTGTGATGCGATCCTACACAGTTCATACGATGCACGTACACGGATCAAAACTTATTTCCAGAGACAATTTAACTGCCCCATCCATCATCCTTGAGCAATATCACTAAATCAGTTAAGGGACATGGAAATAATTGCAATGGGGGGGGGGGGGTTGTATTCTTTGAAAACACGCTGCAGGTTACTATAGTGACATGATCAGATAAATAACGTAATGAATGGATATGTGAAGTAATTTATTAAATGGAAGAGGAGCACTGCACTCACCATATTGACTTCTGAGACCATGTCTATACTTGCTACGTCTATGCTCATGCCAACAGCAACCGGGGCACCTGAAACACGCATTTTGAAAAGTATAATTGTTGCACGATCAGGGTTAAAATATCGAAATATTTAAATGACTTAAAAGGCTGTCCCTGAAGAGAACAAGCAAATGTTTAAACTGGAACAAATCGGTGTCATGTAGCCTTTATAAAAAGACTTACCCCCAAAGTCTGGTCGAAGACGAATATCGTATCCTTTTAACAGTTTGTCGACTGTCTCCTTTACAAAAGACATATTCCCTGGTTCGTTGGCGCTGAAGGAAAAAAATCATGGTTAGTCTCACTTTCGAAAGCAGACAGCCTTCCGCGCCGTTCAGCTTATTAGGCTACCGAACACTTACCTCTGAGCACAACACACAAATGCTACGATGATTGGTGCATAAATAAAACCAAATAGTCTTCTTTTCTGAAATCCCCACATCCCTTACCGTCTGAGTGACTAGTACTCGGGAAATTGACGCGTTGACGGGACGCGTTAAAGCGCAGATTTGTCCTAACGATTAGAGATCAGCGTACTCCATTAGCGGCTGATTGCCCAAGTCATTGTCGGAGTCTGGGACTGCGTGGATCGCTAAAAAGGTTTCGCAGCAGTCCTTCCTGCACTTCGTCTTGAATGCAAACGGTGTTGTTAGGAAGCTTGCTCGGTAAATACCATGTATTTTGTTGAACACATTGCTGGCGACGGGAAGTGGCTGGGACTTAGATAGAAAAACATATATTCTCTTCAGCACCGACTTCCAACGTACGTGGTATACTCTTTAGAAATCCGTTTTGTTTTGTTTTTAAGCGAAGCACAAACATCGGTCCAAACAGGAGTGTGCAAAAACAACGAACATCTCGTCCGAATGAGTACGCCACACCATATAACTCCACAATTATACAAGTCTAAACGCAGAAATTCCGGCGGTTTCTGCCTTTTACGCTTCTCCTACTCTTTAAAATCAGGTAATTACTGGGTAAACATGTTGCGCTGAGTTTGCTGAAATTGGCACGCAAAGAATAAAAGAGTCACTCTAAGTAATGCGCCCACGTGACGCGACAGTCGACAGTATAGTGCAAAAGCGCGACGGCCGCGCCGAGTGGCGTGACTTGGGGTTGGCAGACACTCCGGAGAGAGATCACCTGGCGTGGGTATGCAAATGAAGGTCCACCATAACGCACCTTATTCCTAAGCATGCCGCCATTATAACAATCGTCGTCTTAATTCATTATGGGATTTGGGTACGTTTGGCAGGGTGGATCTGATATAATCAGATGATTATTGGGTATGTTTCCTTGGGGGATTCCTGGGAACGTGCAATATTAACTTTAGTTCATTCCAAAAATAATTGAATAAACATGAACCGAAAAAAGTTTTTAAAAATGTTTAAACTGCTTTGCACAGGTCCATAGCTACAAGGAGTATGTCTTTTAAGTGGAGAGTATGTCTCTGTGTAGTGTGTTTATAGGGAACAGAATATCTGAATTTCAATTTGTATAGTAATTCCCGTAAAACATGGAACAATTAAATGTTAGGCTACAGATATTTTCATAGTAGTTGAGGACAATAATTCTATTTTCTTAGGTGAATCGGGTAATATTAATGTTATTTTTACGGGATATGGCATGTGCAAGGAAAGAGTTTAATGGCGTATGACATTCTGTTCTGTGCGTAAAGTGTGCTTTAGACATTTACTATACATTTTTTAAAATGTTGATATTGAAGACGGGATCCCTGAGCTACCAGCTATGAGATGTTTACGGCCGTATTCTTTGAAACTTGCTCTTGTTGCGCATGTTTGCTATGAGGTGGCTGCAGCCCATTTATGTCTTTTTGTAGTTTTGAGGATAAACGGGGCCGCAAACGGTGAAGGTTTGTCGCCTGTCATGATTTTAAAAAGCGCCAGTGGAACCAGTGGCATGATTTCAGTGGTGATGGGCTTGTCACTTTGCTGCCGTTTACCCACAGGTGAGATCTGAAGAAAATCACCGGAACCGCTGCGGCTGGATGCCACGGTGCGAGAGCATCGGAGCAGCGGCAGGAGCGAAGCCCTCTCGATCTCCCCAGCTCCATTAGCATCCAGAGCGGCCCTGGAACCGGATGCTGCTGTCTTAATTTGTTTATGGTCTGTCTGGGAGACGTGAGAACTCTGGCGCTGCTTCCCGGCAAAGCAATACGAAGCATTTCCGGTGATCTGAGTGGGCAACCCAATCCTGATATTCCACAGAGACAGGAAACTTTTTTACTCTTACTTTATTCATGTCCATGACCTCATTATTTAATTAAAGCCTTGCCCACACCTCTCTTTCTCTTAGACCATTTATTATATTTTTAATGTTCTATTCTTCCCTGTCTTATAAAACACTTCCATGCCATTGCTGGGATAAACCAGTACAGAGGTTATCAGAACAGACGTGCAGGACAGTGCAAAAGTCGTAGGCAACGAAAATGACGTCTAAATGATCTTCTGGTTGATGTAAACTTATGATGTTATGTCTGTGAAAGTGTGTCAGCTTAGCCATTCCAGAAGCTCACCGAAAGCCACCGCAGCATTTGCAGCGACCATCACGTGTGTTTGTTGACTTGCACTGGCAAACCTTGAATGGCTGATCAATAGCCCATTAACGTATTTAACTAATTAGGTTAACTGCTTAAGTTAGCTGGGGATGAAATTTAACAAATATATGAAATGGCCGGGACGCTCCTCAGGAGAAGTTTGGGAACTGAAGTGGTGTCCAGCGAGCCATCCAACTAGATATCAGTAACTTTTTAGGGAACAGAAGAAATTCTCGTTAGTTTTTACTATATTACTGTTAATTTGTAGATGTTCTAATATTAAATAGTGTGTTTTTTTCTTATCAAATATACCCTTACTATCCAGATTTTCTTGGACTGCCTAAGATTTTTGCACGGTACTGTAATTCTCCTCAAAACATCCCACTTTCTACATGTGACCCTGAAGAACCAAATAAAGGAACCCAAAAAAACAAGATTCTGGAATTGATAGACTTCTGTGCCAACTGCATGCTATCTAATGAATGGATAACTGGCGGGAGGGGTGGGGTGTCCTGGTGTAAAGCTTCATGAAGTCATAAAGGTGGAAGCCACGTCTTCCAGAACGCCTTTAAAAAACCACAATCATGGGTTTTTATGCGTTTTATTTGCAGGCATCACTGAAGGCGGCTTTCAAACAGGACAAAAACCTGGGCAATTTGAGCTTAATCACTGGCAATGTCTTGGAATTGGAACTATATACTGTGTGTGCTTGTGTGTGTGTGTGTGTATACATATATATAGACACATTTCAGGCAAATTCTCCAGTGTTCCAGTTGCAGATTAGAACTACAGAGGTTTGGGGCAAAAGGCATTCAAGACGACAGGAGGGTAGCTGTCTCGGAATAGCTAGAATATGAATAAACATATACATGCAAGTACTACACACGGCCAGAGCCACCCACACAGCCATACACGAAGAGCTCTTTCCAAAAACATTTTTCATCCGCAATCGCTCTCTCTGTGGTGACAGGACCAGGAGGAGCCCACGTGTGGATTCCGGTTACATACACTGACAAAAGCTTTTCCATTTTCTTTCTCCCATGTCGTCCGTCGAGAACAAGGACCGATTAAAGGGATTCGTAGGACTGGGAACACCCACTGTTCCGGTGGGGGTGGGGGGGGGGGGGTTCTAAATGAAGCAACTACGCGGTATGCCCAAGAGGGCTTTATAGGAAGTTCTATCAGAGCACAGTCCTCCACCGAAAAAATAAAAGAGATATGTTGCATCATTCTTGTTTCAGCTTATCTCATTACGGTTCTACGTGGGAGCCATCCAAACCGATAAACAGGCTGGCGATCGGCCAGACCATTTTACATACACAGGCAAGACGCTCACATATAAGAATATTTATTTACATACACTGACACATAAAACAGTAGTCTTTTTACAACTTTTTAAACTGCTCTGACAGATATATCTGTGCAGCTTAATGTAGCGCCATGTGATGGCTGTTTTGATGGAAACGTGTTTCTTACCTTGTGTCATAGATTGCATAGAGTCTCTTGTTTTCTTCCGCAGCGTTCCTGTGAAGGACAGAGAACGCAAAGTGTGATCACCCTGGATCGAAGACTAATCGGTGTGGAAAACGTTAAATAACGTATGTGTGTGAATCCCAGGATTCTGCCCCTCAGAACTACATTTAAATGAATAATCAAGGCTTTTACCAAACTGTATGAATGCAGCTTCTTTATCTAATGTGGGACGCATAACGGGCTACTTGATCCCGTTGAAAGCAGTGACTGGATAAAATCAAATACAATTTGCCAACACCATTTTAGTCAAGGCCAGATATGACATTCAGAACCAAAACATTTCTTTCAAAACCAAGGGCTTCTCAAATCTTTGTCCCTCTGCTGTGTCGGTGAAGGTTACCATGGTAACCCCAACTTTTCAGACTCAAGCGCTGTAGAGAGCGCTTACAGTAGTGCGGGGACAATTGGACTTTTAGTTGTCACCGGACATGTTTTTTTTTTTTTTTTTTTTAAATAAAATCAAACAATGTAGTCTTATGAAACTTATCGCGGTCACCGGACAAACCGCGCCACCAAATATCAATAAATGTCTACCGATAGTCACGTTTCATCATCGCCCATCAATCATTTTTGATACATCTTTTTTGAAGCCAAGTCTTACTTTCAGCTGTGCCTTCAGTCACGAGCAATATGGTATCAGAATACTTCAACACGCAGTAAAATGTTGCAGTACTTCTAAATATATATACCTGTTTTAATGCCACGTAAACGGTCACGCCACGACTCTTTTCATCTGTCTGCTGTTAAAAAGTAATAATTCAGTGCTGCGTTATACCAGGATTTCACATTGAAACGGGGGTGTATTGGAGAATGATTTTTCAGTTTTACAAATTGACTCATGCTGCAAAATGATACATGGCATCGCTGTGGTGCTTACATTCACGCGTTAAATCAGATCTTCATCGTTGACGTGTTTACCTCACTTTAATAAGATAAAATCGTCCAAACATTACCACCACGATAATCAACGAAACTTTAAACTTAAACCATTCTGTTTCAAAACAATTCCACGTTGAATTGTGTCGTGTGGTTCATTTGTGGTTTTATTGGTTTTCCCTCTTCTCTTTTTCAATATAAAATATATAAATAAAATGAACATACATCTAAAGAATTTGTAGCCTTTTGAATCCTGTACATTTTCATCAAATGTCTTTATATCTGCTGTGTTTATACTACATCAATTATATCATCATTTTGAGTCGCTCCAGTTCGTGTGCGGTTTAGCATTTCCTCTTAGTCTGTGATAGGCCTACTTGGATTTTATATTAAACGTACCAGTGTCATCGGAGAGATTAAGGCTTGAAGTGAAGTAAAATGCAAATATTGTGTGGATTGTTTAAGGAGCGCCTAATTGTTTAACTAGTTGACAGTAGATCAATTAATGCATGTAATAGATATCACTCAGAGGGAGGTTATACCTCCTTTTAATGCGTGAGTGCTTTTTAATTCAGTTGATACGGTCTTTCTATAATCCGGAAAACATAGGATTAGAGTTCCCTCTGACGGCTGCCTTTAAAACTACTCTCTCTCTCCCTCCTTCCACTCTTTCATTGTTCGTTTGATCGCACCATTGTACTGAATATATAAGTCGGTTACTTAACCTCCTCATTCACTGGCAATCAGTGGCATGAGTCTAGTTAATATTGGGCGCCACCGGGGTGCCTGGTATTTCAAAACCGTTCCGTTTCGTTGTCTGCACTTTAACCTTATTTAACCCACGGTAATTGAATTAATGGGGAGAAGCGGCGGGCCCCTCGAAAGGGAACAGGAAGGGATTCTCCTTTAGCCCCCCTTCCCGAGAATCAGATAATACCGTGGAGTAGGCTGGCTTTGATGTTCGAAGTTCGCTGCTTCTTTTTATTCCCATTCGCAAGAAGGACGCACACTCCTGCCTCTTGTATTCGCAGTAAAAGCTGACGAATTGGCAAACCGGGAAAAAATGCCCAGTAAGCAGAGTCCTAGAGTTGAATATCTGCACATTGTATTACTGCGGACCAGGAGAATCTCTTTCGCCTGCTGAATCATACGGATCACCTGTTTTTTTCCGCCTGTTGTCTTTTTCGTTTATATATTGCCGAAAGAAGGACGTTACGTTTTTCCAAAAGGAGGCGGCATCCTTCACTTTGCATCATTTTTCTTTTTTTTTGCGAGAACCATCAGAGCGGCACCTTGGCGGCGGGAATATTAAAAGAAATTGACGAGGACACGCGGAACCTGTAGGGAGCGGGTACGAGCCTCCCTTTCCTGTATCAGCAGTACCTGCGCCGGACAGCGGTGCAGCTTCGCGTTTGAGCACCAGGGTGTTAAAAGAATAGGATGTCGGTCTGATAACCGCAACTGGCTTTTCCGAGGCATCGACAAACGAGGGAAACTAAGCATGGAGACCGGGGTGGCTGGTGTGGTTTTGGTTGAATGGCCGTAGACAAAGAATCACCAAGAATAGCGAGATGTCCGGATGTCACGGAGCTTCTGGTCTTATTCTTTGTATGATTCGAGAGTCCAATTAGCGCAGGGTTCTTGCGGCTGATGGGTGATCAATGCGTTAGATGTTTGAAGCTGTACCACAAAGCTGCTGTGATTTCTCCTCTCCACTCCATGAGCTCCAGTCACATAGGCTAATACTACACCATCAAGGTATTTATTCTCACTTGAATCATGTATGAATCGCGTTGAAATTCTTAGTGGTTTTCTTCTTTGTGTAAAAGGGACGTAAGTAATACCGTTATAATACCTATTAGAGCGCTACCAGAGGAATGATACGCAGCAGCCTTCGTCATTCTGCAAACAGTTGCAGCAATCTGAAAATTTATTAGGCTTCCAGCGATACTGGTAATTACACAGAATTCCAGTGAATCGTGATTTTTGCACGTCATCATCGATCTCCACGTTTTGTAACATACAGTGCTGCTGTTAAACTGCATTCAACCGTTGTGTTCTAAGGCAGCTGGATTGCCGCAAAGCGAAATTTTAGGTTTAAGTGAGAGATGGGGGGACAGCATTGTCAGTGACTGAGTACATTGCATAATTGTGATGCAGCAGAGTCTTATTAAATTATATTTAATTATATGAAATGTATTGATGACGTTTAAGATACTAATGGATTATGGCGTGCAGGCTTACATTACGTTATGAGAGTCGTGTAATGAGGCCGTAGTGCTTTTGTGTGTAACATGATGTAGATAATGCGATATTATGAGCCTTGATACACGTTCAAAGGCAATAATGTAGATTATGTGACGCCGACTGATAATGACAATGCTGGCAATTAATACAGATAATTAATGTTACAATGTTAAAATGAATTTGTCACGCCACATGTAACCTAACATTTAATTGAGTGTTTTTACATTGTGGTTTATGGGATTTGCAGTTTTTATCGTAAAGGCAGTAGTTTCCAAATCGTTTCGGGTAATTAAGTCTTTGTTTGTTTGTGGGACTCATGAGTTTGTTCCCCAAACGCGCATTTTTTCGCATTTCCTTGCAGGGATGGACGATGGGATGCCCTTCCTCTCAACAATGAAAAGTATTTTGGCCATTGTCTGTCTGGTTAGCTTTAACTGCCAGATAAGGTGAGATTCGATTTATTTTCTCAAATGTGGAATTCATATTCATAAGTGAAATCGGATGTCCACCCTTCGAACTGGCTTCCGACATCAAATTATTCAACTCACTAAATCATTCGAACAATGTAATGTTATAGCAATGAACGTGTAAACGTGCAAACACATTTTCCATTGTAAATATTTCCTTTATTTTTGTTATGCAGCCACCAACCATTTTCCTCATATTTATAAGAGGACCGTGAATGCTCCTGATTTTTTTTTTTAATCAGGGATTTTTTTTTTTTTGGAAGCGTGGTAATGTTTTTGATAGCGCGCGTGTTGATCTGTCATGTTCCTCAATGTATTTCATTTGCATTTTACAGTCTTTCGCAGACCACAGCAGGAACCCTGAAAGAGTCCGAAACAAATGACAACATCACGATATTCACTAGGATTTTGGACAGGCTGCTGGACGGTTATGATAACCGACTACGCCCTGGACTGGGAGGTACCCCAGAGAACAACTTTACGGCCCAGTGTAGCTACACAAGTTTACGTCGGTTTATATAGCTACGTCATAGGTTGTGCGTATTCCCTCAAACCTTTGCACTTTACTTTGACGTCCTTATAGCCCTACTTCGCAGTGTCTATATTGTCATGTGATATAGGATTGTATTGTTGCTCATCAGCACAGTATCAAAATGTAGTAGCCTACACTTTGTGGGCTTGTTTTTTCATATGTTGGCTGACATTCATCTGTTTGTGTACTTTTATACCCTTACTTCTAAGTCGTTTTGGGCAATAATAAGTTTTCGTATAACCGTAAATGTGAGTCCCAGTCCCAGTACAATGTAGTGGATAAGGCGCCGCTATTTACAATATCGATCGATGCAGCTGTCCGGGCGCTTTTGTCCAGCCTATTGTTAATTGGGAGAAATTGAAAACATGGCGCCCCCCTCTACTTGCCCTTTATTCTGTGAATGTGGAGCGTAGGCTAGGGGTGCCTTCGGAGGGCCAAGGCTACCACTGTAGATGTTGGAGCTTAAGTGAAAGCGGACCACCCTCCTCGCCGACACTGAGCACGACCGCCTCCGCGGAGGCGCGCTTCAGTCCGCAGAGTGTGACCTTCAGCACCAGTGTTCACCCTCCCCTTAAAGGGGTGGCGGGGGCTTCATAAAGAGCGCACCACAGCTTCTTTGCGCGAGGGAACTTGCCATTACGCTCTCTTTTACAGATTAAAGTCCCCGCACAGCAGTGTACAAGAAAGTTCCTTTCATAGGGAGCGAAGGCCAGAAGACGATATAGCGATATTGTATTCCTCAATTTCATATGCGATGTGTGACAACACTTGATTATGCTTGCCTGTTTACTCATTGGAATGGGCGCAAATTATAAGTGGATGGGGGGGCTGTGCTATAATCAAAATCAACCCCATGGACCCCACAACCCTCCTAATCCTCAACCTAAAGTTACGCCCTTGTGTGTGACAACACTTGATTGTGCTTGTCTGTTTACGCAATGTGCTGTCATAGTTGGCTGTGTTAATGTCTTCGAATTTAACTGGCTCTCCGGTTTCTGTGATCGAAATTAGTGGCTGCACGTGCCAGACATGGTAAATAGTAGTTACTTATAAGCGCATTTCTACCATTTAGCCACTTAGACATTTGCACCAAGAATAGCGTGAGACTGCCCAGGCCTTAAGCATTGAGCAGAACATTTTTTTTTTCTCACTCCAAACACCTATGTTTCTTTACAGAGAAAGTAACGGAGATCAAGACGAACATCTTTGTCACTAGTTTCGGCCCGGTTTCAGATACCGAAATGGTAAGGTGTTCACTGCTGACGTCAGCATGGGTCTTGTAGTTTTACGCAATAAACAAGTCACTTGTCTTCTGTAGATATTTTGTTAACAGTTTCATCATAGGTTACATGACTGCAATATGCAACTTTTAATTTTAAATAAAGCTTCGTAAAATGCAGGATGTGATTATTAGATCGCTGTCCTTTCCCACAGGAATACACGATAGACGTGTTTTTCCGGCAAAGCTGGAAAGACGAGCGGCTTCGTTTCAAAGGTCCGATGGAGATGCTTGCCCTGAACAACCTTCTGGCCAGCAACATCTGGACGCCCGACACCTTTTTCCTCAACGGCAAGAAATCCATCGCACACAACATGACTACTCCGAATAAGTTACTGCGTCTGAAGGACGACGGGACGCTCCTGTACACCATGAGGTAGCTCCTCAGGTCCATTACACTTCCATATACACGCGTGCACATGACGTAAACAAGAACAAGCCTTTGGATTTCCCTTATCGCTGTTTTATTTTCATTTTATCACTTTCAATAACGAGAGAAAGGATCCAAGGCGAGTCTTGTGTTGCTTGTTTTACTGTGCTTTTTATATGTTTTAGCTTTTAGGGGTAGGCCTATGTGAACTTTGGGGCAATTAGCGTCTTCAGCTGTTTAATTTGACCCAGTCTTTAAAAGGAAGACTACATCGCCAGGGACATGTCCCACCGGGAAAGCACAGCGGCGGCAATCCAGCCTCCCTGTGGTCAAGCCGTTTCCAGCACACAGCACCCCCTCAGCCATCGCTTTTAACTGCCTTGATATGCCCCCGTTTGTACTATCACCGGGGCCGCTTAAAATGATTTTTTTATGATGATGTTTTTAATTTTTCCCTCCCTGGAGGATACTGTTACGTGCACACGAGCCCCGACAACGTAAGTGTATGGGCAAAAAAATATTAATGCATTACGCGTAGAACATTTACATAATTGCAATACAAGAAAAAAAAATCAAGGACACGAGAAAATGTTCAAACCCTCCTTCACACCATGGAAAAGAGGGCAGCTGTTTGAATATTTTTGGAACACCATGTATAGCGCCATAAAGGGGATATGGGTCAGCAGCAGCTGAACAGCGTCGCCTTGTGGCTGAAATAAAACCTTTGCGCGCAGGACTGCTGTTCACCGCGTGCATTAAGATGCAACCGGTCGCCCTCGAATTTGTTATTCATATTTGATGCCTCGAATTGTCCACTGCCTCTCAATTTGTTGCTCCCATGATATATTTATGCAGTATATCTCATCGTATCTGGCCGTCATGTACATTAACTTACGTACTTAACTGTTATGCACCCTGAGAGCTTCCAGATGAAAATTGGATATTAATGAGAAATGATAATACAGATTTTCGTTCCTATCTGACACTGACATCACAAGCCTCAGTGCCTAGGATACCCCCCCCCCCCCCCCCCGCCCTTAAAGGGCATCAGGTGGATAACAACGCTTTGGCTCCTTGTATTTTGCAATTTAACACTTAATTCAAAACATTTATAGAAATTTTATAGAAAGTACTAGAAATGGAAATTTAGCAGCAGATGATATAAGGGGGGGGGGTGTATCCGGAAAGTGGCAGGTTTCTAGAGGGGTGGGGCCTTTAAAAAGATTCACAGTAGGTAAATATTCATCTAAAAAGATTAAATTTACTTTGAATAAGGATGTCAGGCTACGCAGCTAAATGTACACACAGAAGATCCTTTGATAAATGTTGAAAGCTTTACTGATCTCCCCTCCTGGACCTAGGAGTCAGAATCAGGCATAATCCCCCAACCTTTTACCCAAATGGACACCCGCGCCTCTATCTTGATGTACTCGTCTCGGGGATTTAGGGGCGCGTCTTGTGAGAAGATGAGCGCATTAATCTTTGCTCTGGACTCTCCCAGCTTAACTCTATCAATGGTAACAGAAGATTGACGTCGGCAACGTGCAGGAGGTTAAAGGGGATGTATGGGGATGTTTTACAAAAAGTGCTTCGCGTTAAAGTCAACCAAAAGCAATGAGGAACCACCATCCGAACCCGGCGACTTCTATGCAGTAGGATGACAGTGACACCGGTGGGTGACGGTGGCCACAGCTGAAATATCACGTCGTCACATCTGCATGTGTCGTTGTGTTTGTTTGCACATCCATTGCTCTTTAAAGATAGTTTTGGGTGTGGGACGTCTCATCAGAAATATTACGATGCTTTATTATTGCTGCGATACGTGTGTAGTCGTATCCACAAGTAGGTAATGGATGCCTTAATGGATGCTCAAATCTCCCTGTAATTTCTTTAGTGCCGTTAGTCTATAAAGACCACAAACCATAAGCGATACACTGGCATGGCAGTCTTCTGGGTGTCATCACGAGGTCTAAATCCATTCAGCTATTACACAGTAATATAATTGTGTGTAATGGAGAGCTTGGACACTTGTGCACCTCTCTCACATGTCTCACTCTGTGGTTACATTGCCTTATGCTACTTTGTAAACAGTTAACTGTTTATAGATAAATCCATTATCATTAATTGAATATCTGTCTCTTTACAAAAAAGCAAAGCCTCAAAAAGTCTGGACAGTAACTGGGGTGTTGTAAGGGGGGGGGGGGGCGGTCAGTACGGTTCCACGGGACCCTGTCTAAGAAATTTGGAACATAACTATGGGCCCAAAATCTCTATCACTGCGCCTGGATAGTAATATAAAATTCTTCTGAACGCTGAAAATAAGCCTTTCTTATTATGTCCACAAGATGGCAGTGTAAAAGCACTCTTTGCAGTTCTGAATGCTGGGCTGGCGCAGTGGTTTGCACTGTCACTTTGCACCTCTGAGACCTGGGTTGAGTCTCTACCTGGGTTCCATGTGTGGAGTTTGCATGTTCTCCCCGTGTCATCGTTGGGTTTCCTCTGGGTGCTCTGGTTCTTGCATGTAGATATGCGTGTGAGGTGTGTCAGTGTGCCCTGCAATGGGTTGGTGCCCCATCCTGGGCTGTTCCTTGCCTTGTGTCTATAGGCTCCAGACCCCCCGCAATCCTATATAGGACAAAATTAATGCATGATTCTGTGTGCTGGAGGTTTGAAACACAGGACTTTTGTAGCCACTAAAATAAATGCTTATTTAAAAATATAAGGTGAGAGCATATAAGGCATGTTGATGAATGGAACGGGACAAAAGAATGTTATGCTGATATTGTCTTACGCCACGCAAAATCGGGAGACACCCCTCCTACTCAACATCACCCCACCTACTAGACATCACCCCCCCCTACTTGATATCATCCCCCACTTGACATCACCCCTCCTACTCGACATTCCTCCACCCACTCGGCAATGTCCCTCCTACTCAACATCACCCCTTCTACTCAACATCGCCCCACCCACTCAACATTGTTCCTCCTACTTGACATCACCCCTCCTACTCGACATCGCCCCTCTTACTCGACATTGCTCCACCCATTCAACATTGCACCACCCACTCAACATCGCCCCTCCAACTCAACATCACCCTCCTCACTTGACATCACCCCTCTGACTCGACATCGCACCGCCCACTCGACATTGCCCCTCCTACTCAACATCGCCCCTCCTACTCGACATCACCCGTTCTACTCAACATCGCTCCACTCACTCAACATTGTCCCTCCTACTTGACATCTCCCCTCCTACTCGACATCATCCCTCCTACTCAACATCGCCCCATTCCACTCGACGTCACCCCCTCCTACTCAACATCGCCCCTCCTACTCCACATTGCCCCTCCTACTCAACATCGCTCCACTCACTCAACATTGTCCCTCCTACTTGACATCACCCCTCCTACTCGACATCACCCACTCCACTCAACATCATCGCTCCTACTCATCATTGTCCCACCCACCCCACTCGACATTGTCCTTCCTACTCAACATCGCCCCCCCCCCACTCGACATTGCCCCCTCCTACGCGACATCGCCCCACCCAGGCCACACTTGCCTCTCAGCTGCAGCTATATATACTTCAAAATTGGGAGCAAGAGCTCGTTACCAATTACTGCCACTTGATGGCGCCATTGTTCCAAATATGATAAGGACTTTTACTGAAAGTGGTCATGATGTTTTAGTACTTCAGTGTAACATTTACACCTTTTCTGAGGATTGGCAGAGATGCACAACTGATAATTATAATGATGACTTTCTCATTTCCAGGAAGGAGTTCTTTGGTTGGGGTTGTACTCTGATGATTGTCAATCTTACCATTCCAATTCTAGGTTGACCATATCAGCGGAGTGTCCCATGCAGTTAGAAGATTTCCCCATGGACGCTCATGCCTGCCCCCTGAAGTTCGGGAGCTGTGAGTAGGCCTTCTGGGGGTTTCTCTTAATTGTTTTAGATCAGCTCGCATTTTCACTGCAGATATTACATCAACCCAAGAGACTGCTGGCAGCTTCATGTTGTTTTCTTTAAAAACAATGGGGCCTGTAGAGTCATCATCTACTATCTGAGCTGGGGTGAGAGACTGGTCTCAGGTGGAGACTGCCATTGGTACAAGGCACTTCATTAACAACCAAAGAAATCTCGGGTACATGCTGGAAAATAAGCAGGTTTAACAGAAAGCTCAGCTAGCAGTTCCGTCCATCTCCTCACAACTCACAACCTGCCTTTGTAGTGCAAGCCAAAGCTGATTGGGGGCTTTATTAGTCGCTAGCTGTGTGGTTGTCATGCAGTGATGCCCCGCAGTGCCATCTGCTGGCACCACAGTGACACTCCAGCAGCCCTGCTGTGTCTATTATAGGTGTGTTGATAAAAACTGTAATTATCCACTGGTGTGATCAACAGGTTCTCATTCGGTGTATTCGTGGTGACGCCCTGACCCTCGGCCCGTCTGAATGTGCATCAGTGTCACTGTGTCCGTGATTGGTGCAAGAATCAAGGTCTGCTGTGAACAGAGGTGCTACATAGAGCAGTGTCAGCACTTCTATCAGGTCCACTGCACCAGTCACTCATCACTGCACAGTCACTAATCACTGCATCAGTCACTCTGTGGAGGTCATCTGCAGATAGCTGAGCATGGGCTCGCTTCCCTTAGTAGCCGCTCTGCCCTCCTACACCACGTCAGTGAGAGTCCCAAACCATTCATTTGATTCATTCCCCCGTCACACCGCCACACGACACTTAGAGTATCCACTAGACATCCACGCTGGTCCTCCCCTGCTTTTCTCGTAACAAAAGCCAGTCATTATGACACTGAGAGAGTGTCACACCTCATTTTCTCCGCTTTACACATACAGCATCAAAGTCATAATGACAGCGAGAAATAATTCCACCCTGGCACTGTCCTTTAATAACACACAGACCAGAGTCCCTATAATAAGTTCCTGATTACTTTCTCCACTCTCTCCAAATCTTATCCAGAGTCATAGTGTGTCTACAGAGCAGGATTAGTGCAGTGTGTGGAAGGTGTTACAGTGTGTCTACAGAGCAGGATTAGTGCAGTGTGTGGAAGGTGTTACTGTGTGTCTACAGAGCAGGATTAGTGCAGTGTGTGGAAGGTGTTACAGTGTGTCTACAGAGCAGGATTAGTGCAGTGTGTGGAAGGTGTTGCCTGGTTTACCCCAGTGTCTCGGTGGTACTACGACATCTAGATCAGATTTTACATGCCTCTCAGCTTATGAGGACACGCCCCTTAGCCTATGAGGACATGCCTCTCAGCCCATGAGGACACGCCCCTCAGCCTATGAGGACACGCCCCTCAGTCCATGAGGACATGTCTCTCAGCCACTGAGGACACACCCCCCAGCCACTGAGGACACACCCCTTGGTAACACCCCACTCTTCTCCTCTGCCTGTAAAACCTGTGAAGGCTTTATAGGGGTGGTGCTCTCACTACAACCTCACAGCGGGTCATTAAACCCCCTCCACTAAACATCTCAGGTTGATCTTTCCTTTTCTCCTTACAGTTCATTAAAGGTAGTGTCACTGCAGGGGCCATTTCAAGTTTCGGGGGGGGGGGGGGGGGTGTTTGTGGTGCTTGGGCAAATCCTGTTTACGCCCCTGGCAGCTGGATGTGGAACTTTCCCCACTGCCTGACCATCCCCCCATAGAAACTCCTTCCACGTTAGAACGTTAGAATGTTATTTGCTCTTTATTAAAAGGAAATTCCCTCCGAGACCCCTGGCCTCTCCCTACCCCTCACTTCCTTCTTTAATGCTGTGGCTTTTCTCTGCATCTGGGCCTTTAAAGACAGAACCTGCTACTTCCAGTGTTCCCTGTGTGGGTGGCACAGTGACGTTACTCTCCTTCTCCTCAATCTCCTCCTCTTTCCAGCCATCGCTCAGCTCCTTCCGTGTGTCATTACTACCACCCATTTGCTGCTGATGTTGTAAGAGCTTGTGCACATGTGGTCCTCCTCCCACATGGGGGAGCTAAATCTAGAGGCTGGAGATGGTCCTGCCCCCAGTGGCTCGGTCCAGAAAGACCCTTCGGGCAGCAGGCAGCTGCACAGGCTCACAACCCGAAAGCAGACAGTTCAGGTCCAAATAAACCTCGAGGTAATAATTTTACATCGTGGCGTGCCGCTCACATCCTCCGGGGAGGGAGAAGATTGCTTCTGTGAGTTTTTTGCCTGCTTTGAAACCAAACATGAAAAATGAAGTGAAGCTACAGGCCAGCATTAATGGGTCACCCTCCCCCCTCCACCTCCCCCCCACCTGGATTCCCACACGGCGTCTAAGAGAAGCAGAGAGCATCGCAGAGCACCTGCCCTAAGGGAAGCCACATACAGTCCAATTCCGGAATCAGAGCTCCTGAGTTACAGCGCATGTGTAAGACAGTTCCCAGCTCACCCCCCAGGGGGCGTCGTTAGGGGCTGTATGTTAAGGCTGCCCCCAATAAACCTCCTCACTCCCTCTCAGGAACAAATACCAGAGAAGCATGAAGCTTTCTTCCAGACTGGAAATTAAGAGGGCTTGTATTCCATTCCGTATACCTGTATGGCACTTACAGCCAGTGGTACCTCAGTGACATTAAATAACTTGATGAGGTATCGATTTCGATAATGTGCCAGCTCAGCCATTTCAATCCCTCCCCCAAAGTCGCCCCGATCTTCTGCATCAGCCATCCTTCACACCCAGGTATTTTTGACTTGACAGCTGGCATTGGCCTCATTTGGCTAATCGATGCCACATCAAGTTATTTAATACATTAAATTAGTTAATTCATTGAGCTGGTGGTGAAATTTAAGAAATTGCCTGGGGTGCCCCCCCCCCGCCCCCCAGGGGAGGATAGGGCCCTGAAGCTGCATTCTTCTTACCTTCTGTCTTGGGGGCAGTGGTGGCTTGATGGGTAGGGAAGCGCACTTGTAATTGAAAGATTGCAGGTTTGACTGCCTGACCAATAAGACACCACTGAGGTGCCCTGAGCAAGGTGCCGCCCCCAAGCACTGCCCCCCGGGTGCTGAATTAGCCACCCCCTGCTATGTCATGATGTCAGATATGCATTAAATGCAGAGGACACATTTTGTTGTGGTGTGTCAACAATGACCACTCATCACCCAATTCCAATGACAGACATAATATCAGTTTTACGTTTTACAGAAGCATTAAGATCATTTAAACATAATTTTCTTTGACTGCTTAAGCCCTTTGCATACTACTGTATTTTTATGTATATATACATTCACTAACCATTTCTGAATTTTCTCCCAATCGGGAATGACCAATTAACTCACCCCCACAGTCCCGTGTGTGTGCTGTCACACGCTTCACCGATTTCGCTGAGCAGGCGTAACACCCTTGGAGGAGACAGTCTAAGTCCACATAACGCAGCGGACAGTGCACTCTGGGGAGGACCCCCCAGCCAAAAAGGAGATAAACCCTGTATTACTATCACAGCGTGTTTCTTAATTTTTTTCATGCACAATATTTTTCTAGACCTTCAACAATTACAAAACATGTGTGGCATTGTGTCATCCACAGGAAGCCCTGCGCTCAGTTAACGTATGGGTGTGCTGAGCAGCTGGGCCATGAGGTGAGAATAAGTCACCTCATGAGTCACCACTGAGGTACCCTGAGCAAGGTACTGTCCCCAAGCACTGCTCCCTGCTATGTCACGAAAGTCACATATGGGTCAAATGCAGAGGTCACATTTCGTTGTTGCGCACTGTGTGCTGTGGTGTGTTGACAATGACCACTGATCACTTAATTCTAAATTCTAAATTCTAAAATTCTAAAGGCTCAAACAGGGAACACGGCCGTAACCTCGAACTTAAGAGGGCTGAACATTTAGGTCACGTTTTTAAAAAGTGTGAGGGGGGTTAGAAGGTGATGTGGACCCAGGGTGATGTGGACCCAGGGTGATGTGGACCCTTTCTATGAACCCTGAAACGCTTTGGGTAAGAAGGTGGGATGAGAGTCAGAGAGGACAGCTGAGATACGAGCAAACAAACGAGCGTGACAACTCTTCAGGAGAAACACCTGTCTTACGGAGGCTCAGGCGTCACATGATTTCTGCTGAATTATGAGTCACTATATTGGCCATAATTTGAGCTTATGTAGCCAACAAAATGACCCTTATTACACATAATGACAATAGTGATTGTCTGAAGAAAAAAGTAAACAAACTTAATTGAAGATTACATAATTATTGCATAATTATAGAACTCTTACATAATTATTCTTTAATAAAAAGAATAACTTAACAGGGAGGCAGAAAAGCACCAGAGGCCAAACAGAATTATGGTAATAACATGCTGAAGCTTAAGAGATAATTGCTGTAAAAGTAATTATGTTTAATTTTTGGTCCTGTGAAAGCCGAACTTCTCTGGTTAATTGGGAATGTCAGACTTCACAGTGTGTCGAGTGTTCCTCACACCATACAAGATGTGATTTTAATATTTGTCTTCACCCGTAATTAAAGGTAATGCTTCTTGCTAATGCTTCTCAGACACTAACAATGTTAGGATGCTAATGCTGCCCGAATGCTAACAATGCTCAGATGCTAACAACGCTAGGACCATAACACTGCTTGGACGCTAACAACGCTCAGATGCTAACTAAGATAGGATGCTAACAACGCAACGCTAGGAGGCTAAAGCTGCCCGCATGCTAACAACACTCGGATGCCTACAGCGCTAGGATGCTAAGGCTGCCTGAATGCTAACAACGCTCAGCTGTTAAGAACACTGGGACGCTAACACTGCTTGGATGCTAACAAAGCTCAGACGCATTTGACTTCCTCTGCTGGCCCCTGGAGGATGGGCTCCCCCTTTGAGTCTGGTTCTTCCCAAGGTTTCATCCTTCTAGGGAGTTTTTCCTTGCCACTGTCGCCTCTGGCTTGATCATTGGGGGTAGGGATAATGTAAAGCCCTTTGAGACAATGTAATGTTGTGAAAATGCGCTATACAAATAAAATTGAATTTAACTAATGCGCGGGCATTAACAATGCTATGACATTAACAACGCTAGGATACCAACACTGCTCAGATGCTAGGAACGCTAGGATGCTAAGTTTTGGCAGCTGCAGTTGCGTCTTTTTGTTGAGCCACTGCAAGTCTGTGTCTCTATGGCAACAGTTTCCAGGTATCATTCACTGTGCATTTGGTCACCTTGCTCTCATAAACATCACAGAACTCCTCTGACTCAGTTTCAGACATTTAATTTCATTAAATGGCCTTTCAGGAATGTACGTTGTACTGCTGAAAGTGCCCCCATAAGGTCTTCATTTCTGCTCCCTCCAAGCTCCTCCCAGACAGTCCACATTTTTAGTCTGGTGGGAGCTGGGAAGGAGCAAAAACATGGACTATGGACCAGATTGAGAGACTCTGCTTTAGGGAACATTCAGCGTTGATGAAGTCTTTGGTGTGGTTCATGTCAAAGGTTGTCCTGAAGACCCAGAGAGCCCATAGCTTACTTACATGACAGTGGCATATGCTTTTTGTACATTTAGTTCTGCCGAAGCTTTTGGTCTGTGAGGTGGCCACCATGCTGGGTGTGTTCAGTCCATAGACTGATACAGGGGTTTGGGAAGCTTGAGGCCCTCAGCGCTGGCTGTGGCTGCAGACTGGGGCAGGCCTGTGGGGATCTCGATGGGGAATTATGTTGGGGTTGGAATGAGAACCTATCGGGTACAACAGCTCTGAAAAGTGTCCAGTTTCGAGAAGCGTTGCTGTTTTGGGCGTGAGCGGCGGTGGTCCTGAAATCATGACCTTTCTGAGGGCAGCCCCTGTCCCAGGGCCCGGAGCTGGTTATTAATCACGGTGAAGGCAGCTGACAGGAAGGACACGGGCATTAATAACCGCCCAGGAAAGCGTAAGCAGCCTTCCCATTTCTTTTTTTCTCCAGGAGATTTGCCGATACCGGCTTCAGCCCCCGCCCCAAAAACAGGCCAATGTTGGTACAGTAGGCGAAACAGACGTCCACTGTGGGGGCTTATGGGCTTGAAAGAGTTGTTTTTGCACACACTGCGTTGCCATGCCCTTTGGGGATATCTTTATGGGGGGGCGGGGTGCCCTGTTGCCTGTCCCTATGACTAACAAACTCCGAAAAGGTAAATCCATGCCCCCAACTTCATGAGAAGAAGCCGGCATGGTTGGTTAGCTGTAATGATGACTAAGCCTTACCTAATGGTGACCATTAAACTTTGTTATTCATTACTCATGCATTTTTTATTACAGCCAGGCTCCTAATGGTCTGAAGTTCTGTATTTAGCTGGATTTCTGAAATGATTAAAAGACGATGAAAAGATCCCTTGAAGTTTGTTTTGACTCTTGTGAGAGTATTGTAGCCTTACACCACTGTTTGCCTCTGACTGTGATTCCCAGACGCCTATCCGGTCTCGGAGGTGGTATATACCTGGACACTGGGAGCAGCCAAGTCTGTGGTGGTGGCCGAGGACGGCTCCCGACTAAACCAGTACCACCTTCTCGGGCAGACTGCCGGCACCGAGGAGATCTTCACTAGCCGGGGTAGGCTCCTGCCGTCTGTCTTCACTAGCCGGGGTCGGCTCCTGTTGGCCGTCTTCACTAGCCGGGGTCGACTCCTGTTGGCCGTCTTCACTAGCCGGGGTCG